ATCAGATCCGGAAGCTGATGGGAGTTGGGAGCACCTGTTAGAATCCGTCTTCTTAGAAAACCTCAGACTTGAAATTTCATTTGTGTTTTGAAAAACTTAATGCCTGAAGTGCAAGGGGCATCAGACTCTGGCTTCCCACATACAGATCTGTTCTGTGCTAACTTCCCACTGAAGACTGGAACATGGTCCAGCTTTTGTTCAGTGTGTCCTTTTGGAGGCATTGACTGGGAAGGAAATCTGACAGACTGGAGAAAACTTGGCTACGAGTTAATTATATTTAGTAATAATTGGCAGTGTTTTTTCATACACCTGTGAGTCCTTTGGCTCTTGATGTCTTGAGACATGGTCATGCCTACTTGAGGGAGAAATTCCTGAAGTTCATTCAGTCCTGATCAGCATGACTCAAGGGAAGCAGCAGCCTCCTAAAAGGGCATGTCCTGTCTTTCAAGGATTCTTCGTAGTTCCCAGCCCAAGGGATTGCCTACACACATTGGGCTGAACTATTTTGGTACCTGGCTAGCGTCTCTGGGTGTGTCATGGTGGTTGTGTGGCTGCAGCCAGCAGTCTGCAAGAGGAACAGAGAGGGAAGTGTTCAGATTTTGCAGAGTTTCAGCCCTGCAGGCACTGCATGGAGCTGCTAATGCTTACAAAGTGGCTGGGTAAGAGGGTGTAATCAAGTGAGCTGTGGGTAGAGTTCTTAATTGCAACCGTAGGAGTAGCTGGCAGCCTCGGTGGCTGATAGCCTTCCTCAGGTGAGATTGGCATCCTCAGGTATGCAGAGCTCTGGCAGGCCATGGGTGAAGAGCCAGGGACCAAAACAAGCTGATGATAGGAAAATTGCCTTGGCCATGGGCTGATGGAGTCATCAGCATCCATGCTTATGTGTTAGTATGTGCTAAATCATAGCCTATTGCTGAAGTGGGCACAGGCTCCCTGAAGTTGTCTGCTTTGGAGAGCTGCAGCAGAGGAGGAGGGAGCTTGGTAGTTCCCACACAGGCCCTGCTGTAGCTTTTTCTGGAGGTTTCATAACAGAATTAAGCAATTTGTGTTGCAGGTTGCCATGGAGACTGTAAATCACTGTCATGCTGGTCTTCTCAGTCAGGGAGCCGGTGTATTTAATTGCAGTAACCTCCCCTACAAACCCAGGGCTCAGTTCTGAGCTTGCTGACATTCTGTGAAGGCCTCGCCCTCCAGGACAGCAGAGCAGGAACCAGGGAAAGGCATGCCAGCACATCGAATATCAACTATCTGGGGTCCATTTTAGTTTTTATTCTTGTCTTATGTGGCCACAGCTCTGCTCAGAAGCTGTGCTCAGACCCACTTGCATTCAGGGCAAGTTTTGTAATGAGAGTGGGGATTAGATACACTACCTACATTTTGTTGGTCAGTCATACAAACTAAGCTGAATTTGGTGTTTTTATGTTACTTGGCTGCTCCAAGGGGATAGCTCAGCCCTTCCACTCCATCTCCATGTCTAGACAGGTAAGTGGGGTTTTATGCAGTTTATTCTGCCTCCTAAAGAAAATACTTTTCTTTCTGAGGAGGCTCAGCCTCAGTGACACCCTTGGATCAATGTTTCTTTTTTTCTTCCCATCCAGCTACCCCTGAAGTAGCCACACTTCTGACTGTCTCAGCATTACTGGCTTGTGCTGTCAGGCCAAGTCAGGCTGTCTTGCCAGTGTGTATGGAGATGGTTGTATAAATCAGCCTCCTTCCAGTGACTAACCTAGAGCCATGACGGCATTTGTCAGCGTAGGGTATGGATCCTTCTCTTGGCTTCTTCAAAATAAACAACTATATAAATTGTAAGATGATTATCATCAGACCTTATTAGTGTATTACCACATGCTGCTTTGTATTCAGACAATAGATAAAAACATTTGTGCTTCACTTTTCCCAGTCAGATCTACAGCAAACACGCTTATTCTTGCTCCCATCTGAGGAAGACTGTGTCAGTACTCTTGCCAAAACCACATGAAAATCAGCCCAAGTCTTTTGCACTTGCCTGTAGCTCTGTGCATCTTTGGGAGTGTTTAGTCTTTTCCAGGAAATGATATATGTTGTTTTAAAGGTTTGAATCATGAGCTGGTTAAGTTTATAATCTTGTCAAGGCATGAGTTGTCTTCTTGCTTTGGTTATCAGGGCAGGTGGAGGGGAAGAGAGACTGAGTGCTTGACTCTTGGAAGGTTTTCATTATGTACTTGCATGGCTGGAGCATGGGACCTGCCATGACAGTAGAAAGAGGAGTGTTTTCATGAGCAGCAGAAACAATTCTGCAGAAATTAAACTTGCTGCCTTCTGACACTCTGAAGTTTCCATCTGTTGTGCTAGCATCACCTAAAGTACAGGGAGTTGTGCTCAACAAACCAGCTTACAGTTCTTGACTTTTTTTTCCCATTTTTTTTTCTTTTTTGGTTCAGTTCTTGCTGGTTTCCCCAGGCTACATAACACTCAGTCTGGTGGTTCAGACACAGCATGACCAAACTTCTGGAAAGGATGGGAAGCAAATGCCCCAATTCAGCCGATGAGCATGCTGGGCAGAGACACAGTTTGTACAATGGGGCTAAACATTTTCCTAGTACTTTGGGGAGCATTTCATGCAAGATAAGCTTGAGGCTTCTTAGGAGCGGGTTAAAGGGCTGGCACAAAATGTCAGTGAAAATGTAATGCTCGTTGCCAAGCAGCAGCTTGTGGTTTTGTGAGGAGGTCAAAAATCGTGCACAAACGGAGTATGTTTTTCACATCCACAGACTGTCCCCCACCATGTCAGTAACAATCAGTCTTTCATTCTGCCTGGCTGGAGCTGCTTCTGCCGTGTAAAGAAGGATGGGGTGAAATCTTGGCCATGGGCAAAGCAAAAAATTGTCATTAAATGTGTTGGAAGGAGGGGCAGAGCTTTAGCCAGCATCTGTCTCAAAAAGCCTGTGAGGATCATCTGACCCAAGAAGGATTACACAGAAGTAAAACTTGGTCTTTCAAGCAAAAATAAGGCATTTAGTTGAAATTCATAGGTTTTTCTGCAGCCCAGATTGCTGTGTATTTTTGTGGTCTCATGAATATGAGAAAGTGGCTTACTCAAAAATAGGGCTAAGAAACTTTTCCTTGGGGTTGTTGTGGGGAAATTCAGTAAGACTGTTTGTTTGAAACCTCAGCTGGTTTGGTCTTTTCCCCATCCAGCAGCTGTTGCTCGCAGTGGAAATTCTTGCTATTCTCAAGAATTTCCTCCAAAGGTGGTATAGAAACAAGCAGACTTGATCATGCTTCTTCTTGCTCTGAAAATGTTGACTTGTCTCAGCTTGGACAATAATCCTTTCCTGTTCTTAGCAATTTTAGCAATCTCATCCTCTGTCTCCTCTTTATTGGTTTTTTCTTTTCAGAGGTGTTATGGACTCTCCAGTGAATTGAAAGAACAAGAGACTCCCAAGTTTGCCAGGTCAAAAGTGCTTTTATGGTTCAATATTTTGGATTAAACTGAAGTAATGATTTTGGAGAAAGGAACTAGGGAAATCAGAAATTAACCTCGATTAGGAGATTATGTTCTTGTGTTTTGACAAGAACACAATCAGCTTCTGTGGCACAGAGTACATCAGCCTTGCTTGGTGGTTTCTGAGAGTGACAAAGTTAAAGTTGTCTTTTTAATGAAAAATAAATTCCTAAGGTTATTGGGAAAGCCTCCCTAAGCTTGTGTGGCTTGGTAGGGGTACAGGTTGGGAACCAACAGTTTATGGAGGTTCCCTCGGAGCAGTCCTGGTCCCACCTCAGTGCTGAGCCCAGCCAGTACCTGCAGCCTGAAGGAAACCAGCAAAACCAGAATGTCTGGGAGCAAGTGCCTGCAGAAAATGTTACCCCAGCTGCTGCTGCACTGAACAGTATTTTCAAGAAAACTGATACCAAGAAAATCAACTGCCTTGTCTTCAGCCTTATTGTTAGGATGGATTTTTTTTTTATTATTTTCTCTTTAAGTGTGTAAAACCTCCCAGAAAATGCAGTGGTGATTCAGATCTGGGAGATGGCCATTGTTTCCTCTGTGATCTTAGTCAGCATCACTGCTGCCCATGGGTGAGTGGAGGGCACTTACATGTACAGAACCTCCTGCCTGGCTTCTCCTTAAATGAGCAGTCTCTGCTGCTGAGTGTTGAAATGGGCCAGTCAGCAATGGCTGCCTCTTCTCCTTTCTCCACATACCTGTGCTGTTGTCCAGTTTCAGCCAGGGAATTTTTTTCATCTTTCTCTTAGGAGGGGGCTGTGAGGTGAGGTGTGACCATGCTGCTGGGAAGCTGCTCTGCTTTCCTGGCTGTGTCACAGCCACAGGCACCAGCCTTCCTGCCACAGCAAGGCTGAGGGTTAAAAAAAAAAAAAAGGCAAAACAAAAACCACCTGTTGTTCCTGGCCTGCTGCCTTCTTGCTTTTATTTCTCAAACTTGAAAGTGAGAGAGAAGAAAGCAGCTAAGTGCATTTTTGTCTCCTGGCAGAGCCAGGATTGAACCTTTAACTCCAGTTTCATCCATCACCACCAGTTCTGTCTGCAGATTTGGCCCCGTTAAACACCATTTAATGTTCACTATACCTTGGGATGGGCAGTGAGGAATAGCACAACTGTCTTATCAGTGAGATTTGATCACTGGCAACAGGAAACTGTCAGGAGCTTGATTGGTGCACTGAGCCAGGGTGATTTTTGTCATTGCTGTGTGGACCCAGCCCCTGCAGGAAAGGTATTCAATGGCACAGGTGTTGCATGTGCATTTGGTGACAATTAGCAATGCTTGTAGACAAGGCAGGAGTAAACAAGCACAGTGGTGGAGTTGTCTGCACTTGTAAGTGCTGTGTCTGAGTTGGAATAGAGCTATTGGGAAGGGTTGGTGCTGCTGTCCCTGTCCTAAAGGATTTTGGATGTGAGAGTGCCTTCATTCTCACTTCTCAGACAGCAGGTAAAAGCTGCCTTGTGCATATTGCCCTCTTGTCATTGCTGCTGAGTGACTGGAGGTGATCTCTTTCTCCAGCAGGTTTACCACACTGGAAGCATGGCTACAAGCGCTGTTCCCAGCGAAAACCTCCCCACGTACAAGCTGGTGGTTGTTGGAGATGGTGGTGTGGGGAAGAGTGCTCTCACTATTCAGTTTTTCCAGAAGATTTTTGTGCCAGACTATGACCCAACTATTGAAGACTCCTACCTGAAGCACACAGAAATAGATGGGCAGTGGGCAATTCTTGATGGTAAGCAAGCTACTTTCATGATCCCCTTTCCCTTCTAGCTGAGCACAATTGCAAATAGACCTCGGTGTCTCCCACAGCACGTGTCCCCGTGTCCCTGCTGCTCTGCTGCAGGCTGGCAGGATCTGGAGCTGCAGTGCATGGTCTGCAGCTGGTCTCCAGCAAAGCTGCTGCTTCCAGTTGCATTGGTTCCAGTTCTGCACAGAAATGCTTCTTGCAGGCCTATGGAAACCTACAGGTCCTCATTGACACTTGGAGTAGGTTTCTGCAGCCCGTGAATGACAGCACTGCCAGGTGGCTGTTGCTAATGATACTCATTGAAGTTGTATCTCCTGGGAAATAACAGTGAGTGGCTAACTGACTGAGGCTTATAACCAGAAAGAATATTTAATCAGAACTGTTGTCCACTGACAAGGAAGAATTGTTACAGCTCTTAAATCCAGTCATTCGGGTGTGATGTTTTCACATTCAATTATCTGTTTCATTTAAATATGGGTAAGGACCAGTGTGCAGATCAGAAATCTGTTATAACCAAGAGTTTTCAGTTCTTTGAAGAAAAACTGCCTTGTTTTGGTTTGGTTTTTTTAACAAAAAAAACACTAAAACATACTTTAAAAACCCCTAAAAAAAGACTAGGAAAAAAAAAAAACACAAAAAACCTACCACCTTGATTAGCAGGTGAGGAGAAAGCCCTGTATTACCTAAAACTGCAGCTTGTTCATTTGTGCTGCATGAGGCAGACAAAGGGAATCTTCCTCTTAAATGTTGTTGTAAGTTTTGTTTTGCTTTATAGAATAATTAGTAAGCACATAAAAGCAAGTATTTGGTGCCTTAATTACTCAAGTTCATGTTTGTGGCCACTAATATAAGTGAACTAAATTTAGTCTCACTTGTGCCAAGTGAGACTACCCTCACCCTCTTGTCACGAAGGTGTTCAAGATCTTTGGTGTCTCTGCATAAGTGTCATTGGTGTGTGGGGACAGAAAGCTGGGGGATTATCATGAGTGGTGGAATGTGGATGCTGGTGAGGTTTGCTGTGAAGACTGTTAGCTTGGTCTGGGAACTTGACATCTTACTTGCACTCTTAAGGATTTATCAGATATAATTTAGTGAGTACAAATGGCCACAAAGTCCTTAAAAAACAGATTTTATTCAGTATTAAAAAACTAAAACCAGCAAACAATAAAACAAGTTAATCTGGCCAACATTTGTTCATTTGAATATGTTAATAGTTGATATGAGGCAGTGTGAAATTGGTGCTGAAATGTCTCTTCTTGTCATCTGCATTAGATATCTGCTCCAAATTAACCATCTCATAATGTATACATGTGCCTTTATTATTAAAATGCCAGTCCTGTATAAAAGAAAAATACAGTTCTGCTGTAAATTAAATTAATTATTTTGAGTCCAGAATCCAGGCCTCTAAAATGAGCAACTTTTATCTTCACTGGTATGCCCCATGTTCTGATAGATATATACCAGCTGCTGTACCTGTTCTTGTTGCCTGAAACAGCCTCAGTTTTGCAAATTATTGAAAAGTAGAAAAGGCATCTTTTACTGAATATTTGGAATTTTTGTTTAGACAAAAAAGAAAAACCAAAACAACACAAAAACCCCAATCAAACCTGATCTGAGTGGGAGTGGTGAAAGAAATTGTTTTCCAACAAGCAGAAACTTAACCCTTTGTTTTAATGAAAAAGCCTTTCTTTTGCTCAGATAGAGCTTAATGGCTATACTTGGGTTTAACTGAATTCAGCTGTGGCCTTGAATGGCATGTTGGGAATCTCTGACTTCCAGGGCTTGTGTGCCTACAGATGCTTCACAGCCAGAGAAGTGAAACTGCAGCTGCTTCTCTTTCCTACCGCTTGAGATTTTGAACAATCACAATTTTGGAAGAAAGGCAATATTCTTGCCTGAAAAAGGATGTGACCCTTTTCCCTCTGCCCAGCAGGAACAGGGCACCAAGACTGACTAACACTCGTGTCATTTGCCTCAGCTCTCTGTCACAGGCTCTGGATCTAGGCCATTCTGAGGTCACCATATACTGGGACAGCTGCTCTTGTTGTGGCTACATGAATCACATACAGTATAAAATTAGGGACAAACATGATAGGAAGAGTAAAGATGCATCATGATAAATCCTAGACTTTCCAGTTGTTCTTAATGATCAAAGCCTTTACAAGCTGAGGTTTCATGCAGTTCTTGGTGGGCAGAAGCAGCTGCCCACCCCCAAAATAGGAACCAAGTAAGGATATAGCATAAGGGGATCTATAAGTTTTGAAATTTTCAGAAACAGATATTATTTTATAGAAACCAAATAAATGGACATCTAACAACTTTAAAAACAGGAAACAGCCCACCCTTTTCCAGGCTGTTGCCTGAGCAATTCTGTACAAAGCATCTCAAACATTTTGTAACTGCACCAGCATTATGTTGTAAAAAAACCCTTCTGCTAGCCAGCTTGCATAAAGCATTTGGCTTCCTTCCATGAAGACCTTCACCCACATTTATTCAACAGCACTGACTGGCTGCATGATGAAATGTTTCACTTACATATTTTTTCCTTTGCTGAAATCTCCCACTGAAAGGAGACTGAAATGTAATATGGTTTTATTTTAGATCTTGGAGCAAGAGCTATATTCAAAGTTTTCTTTTACCTGTTTGTTCTTTGGCTTGGGCATATCTCTATTTTTCTCACTAAAGAGTTGTCTGTGATAGTTCCTTGCCTCCCAGAAGATTGTGGGACCTGTGTTTGTGTTCATGTTCCACACTACACAAAACCACTTTACTGTTGATGTTATGCCAGCTTTAGAAGACCATCGATGGTCTTGGAAGACAAGTACTGTAGAGTGGAAGAGGCACTTAACCTGAATAAAAGATGCACAGGCAATTTGTGGCTAGCCCATTTTTTTGGTTGCTGCCACTCTAATGAGGTTTTAGGATCAGGCTCCACTTTTCTCTGCATATGTTATCTTGGTTTATTCCCTGCTGGTTGTGCTGAAATCAGCACAGTACTGTGCTCGGTGAAATACACTCACACACAGGTGCTGTACAGACACGAGGTCAGAATTAAATGGGGGCCAGGGTTAATCTGCTTTGATTAGCTCTTGCTCCAATTGCATTAATTTTGTACACTCCTTTCTATGTGCAAATAGCAGAGGATTTTCTTTTGGTGTGGCTGCAAAATGCCAGTCTGGAATTATTAATGTGGGCATGAAGCCAAAAGTGGAATACCTTAATATGGCAAAAAATTCCCTATGGCTCAGAACTCCTTATGGCTCATACACCACACAGAGATAAAAAGGTGGCAAGCAAAGGGAGATGAAGAGATGACCACAAGCACATGGCTTGGCCGTGTTGGGGAATTGGGCTGAACTCTGAGCTGTCAGTAGTGCTGTGCCCATTGGTACTGGCCAAACAAGGAATTGTGTTGGATGAAACGAAGCTGTGGTCTCCCTTCTCTTCCCTTTCCTTTCCCTGGTATGATTTTGATGAAACTCTCACAGCCTAGAAGTTGTCTCTCTGCTTCTGAGCTTCAGTTTCCCTTCTAGTTCTCGTCCCCAGACCTCCTTGCAGTCGTGGGGTGCCTTTGTGCAGGGCTGGATCTGCAGAGCCTGGTGTGCACCCCTGTGCAGTCACACCCAGTTCCATTCCTTCCCCCACACTCTCTCTGCCCTTCCCACCTGTCTATCCCTTGCACCCCTTTTTGTTGAGGGTTTTTGTTGCTAGTCATCCCTGGGCACACAGTCTGCTTTTCTTCTTGGGAAACTTGAGATTAACTCAGCCATAAGGCCAGAGGGAGATCAAAGATCACTTCAGATTTGCAGGCAGAAGGGTTAGTTTGTGGCTCTCTTCTCATTTGTGTTAATTTAGACTTTCAGTAGCATCACTGAGAGCATTAAAAGTCAAGCTAAATTTGTACTTTCATTCTTTTATTTGTGTGTACAGTATTTCCCCTCCCTTAATTGCTGGGATTTTGCAACCATGAAAGAGGGGGTTTTGTCTTGGGTTGTGGGGATTTTTTTCCTGCCAGGAAAATTCTGATGTTGCAACATGGAAAACACAAGGCTTTGAATACTTGCCCTTTGTTAGAGAAAGCTCCTTTAAGGGCTTGCATCTTTATTCTGTTTATTGATGTAGAAGCCTTTCTCCTGAAGACTCCTCTCTTCTTTTTGCTTAAAGAAAGGGCAAGAATTCAAGTATTTGGGTTTTCCATGTTATAACATCTGTATATTTAGCTAGGGCACAGAAGAAAGACTCATAAAAGCCCCAGTGTTTTCCTATCATATGTTTTTTGCTGAGGAAAGCTGTCATGCCAGGGGCAGTGTGGCTCTGTCTGAGAAGCAGCAGAAACATCAGAGTGACTGAGTGAAGCATCTGCCTTGCCTTGCACATGGTAAGGGCACCTCATCCCTCTTCAAGGTGACTTGGGCTGTGGGGATACAGACTAGGAGCTGTGACCCCAGTGCTCCATCTGTGCAGTGCCCAGAATAGCAATTCCTCAGCTGAAGCCAGTGGCTGATAGCAGTGCCCTCTCCCACAGTGCTGCTGATGGGAGAAGACAGAGACTCTGGAGGTGGCTTTCTTCAGCCTGAGGCTCGTGAGTTTGACTTGGCAATTCAAGTTAAATTTTCCAAGTTAAATTTTGGGTACCAAGTGCAGGGCAGTGAAATACAAAGGCTGAAGGACAGAAAGTGGGTTAATGTGCCTGTCAGTTCATCTTTATCCCCTCTAGATGCCATGGACAGTGGAGAAACTCTCTTGAGGTGACCAATACACCCAGCTGCCTGGCAATGTAAAGGTAAAGATGAAGGAGGAAATTTTGCCTAGATATGAAAAGAGAAGAGCTCACCTGCAGAACCAGATCTGAGCTCCTCAAAGGCTAGGAATGCTGTGTTTGAACTGAATCCAGCCTAGGCTCCAGAAAAAGCAATGCCATTGTTGACTTAGAGTTCACAGTGTCTCTGCCCTTGGTTTAAATTCACCAAGTGCCTTTGTCTCTGGATGGGCACTTAGAGCACTGTTGGTTGCAGAGACATTGCCACATGATACACCTTGAAGCACCAAGGGCTTCTATTTTGGACCACAAATTCCTGTGTATTCCTGGGCTCCTGTGCCTGCTCAGAAGTGCTCTCTAGGCAGCTGCACTCTTGCATAACCCATCAGGATTCAAGGAAAATGGAGTGGAGAGCTCTAAAGGGGCAGGATTCAATTAGCAAGGAGTTCAGCACAGCAGCTGGGGGGTCACATCCACTGGAAAGTGGAATAGGCCATCTCTTCACTCAGCAACCTCTTACCTGCAAAGCAGGAGACCTCCCTGCTGGGTTTTCACAGCCTAATTGCTCTTAGTTTAGTCTCCAGCTGGTCTCATGATAGCTGTAAATGGCTTTGCCCTCTTTGGATGTCTGTTCTTACATCAAATATCCTTGGCTTCTCTCTCCTTCAGCTTACCTAAATGCTTTCATAATTGCTCCTCCTTGCTTCTTTCGTCAAATTTATGAGAACTTCACCAAGTTTTCTGTTGGAAGTCCCTGACAATGCACTGTGCAGCCAGTGAGTCAGATTTCAGTTCTTGGAAGAACGAGGTAGGAGAAACCCACTGTGCTTTGGTCCAGCCTTGTTTCCACGGTGGCATTTATGTGCTGCCAGTGAGGCAACTAGTGGTTTAAGGTGTACCAGCTCACAGTTCTCTACTCATGGCTATTTCTGTTTTCTGAAATTCTCTCTGTAGAAACAGAATTTTCAAAGAAGGTGAATGCTGGCTCACATGCATCTCCTCATCCCTTTGGGAAGCCAGTCACCTTCTGAGTTACCCCTTGCCAAGGTTTCTCCTTGCTACTTTCCCATTTCTATAGGTAGGAGTCTTCTTGAAGATTTTATGCCATAACACCACAAGCAAAGCCACTTATATCTGGCACTTTTTTTGTGCTGATGCTTTTCAGGATGTGGTCCTGTCCTGCCTACAAAGGATCCAGATCACTCTCCTTTCTTGCTTACAACTCACAAAGCACAAAAGTATTAGGCTGGGGGTTTGCCTTGATGAAGAGCACATTTAGAGTTAAGAGAAGGACTTTGGCCATCTACACGATGCTTAACTTTGTATGAATAACCCATCTGAGATTAACCTTAACCTTCACTGCTGTGTGTCTTTTACTTACACTTTCAAATTGCCATTTTAAATGCTGCCTGGACTTGCTCACCTTTTTATCAATGCTGCAAGTGAATTCCCTTTAAATAGCAGCTGCTGATGCAGCAGCTCTGCCTGTGTTTAGTGTGATGGCCAAGATCCAGGCAAGGTAGGAGAGCCCCATGCAGTGGGGTATCCCCACAGCCCCCACCAGGGCTTGCCCCCTCTCCCAGGGGATGCAGAGCTTTGGAGGGGCAGCAGCTGGGGATGGGCTGATGGTTGCAAAGGCAGAGCTGGATGCTTCTTATGTGTTTCATGGGAAGTTTGCCAATGTGCCAGGGCAAGGGGAAGTCCCTAAGCAAATTACCATGCAGGATACAGCACATCCATCTCCACCTTCCTGCCCACAGTTTGTGCTGGGGCACCTGCCCTGTCTCAGGGGGAAGAAGGGCTCAGCTCTCAGCAGGGAGCTCTGCCACTCCACCAGAAGTTGGGTTTGTGTGCTGGTTGTTGGCTCAGCCCTGCCCTGACACCGTGTCTAGCTGCTGCAGGAGTCAGATGAGGGTAGCCCAGCCTCTCTGTACGGGTTGGGCAGGTAGGAAAGATTAATTTCCTCTTCTGTCCCAACTCCAGAGTCTTGGCCTTATTCCATGGTAGCAATTCTGCCCAGGGCATAGAAATTTATCAGCACATGCAGTCTCTGGGTTGTTTTTCGATTTCCTTTTTTTTTTTTTTTTTTCTTATTTTTTGTACAGTCCTTAAGAATAGCCTAAATGCCTTTGAGCTGAGACCCTTGTTTCCTAGATTTAGAGGGGAGGAGCAGGATAAAAAGCTATGAAGAGACTTGGGTGGCTTTCCAACAATTTTGGCAAATAAGCCTAAATCTCGGTCTTTGCAAAAGCCTAGAATCTCTTTTTACCTTAAGAGCTCATCAAAACAGACATTCAACACCAGCTAAGGCAGGAGAGCAAATGAGGCTGAAGGCTTGAAAGGGCCTGCCATTCCCAAGGAAGTGTCCAGGTGTTCTGGTGTAGCTGTCTCTCCTCCAGACATGCAGTGGAGGTGTGTGGCTGGCTCATGGGGTGTGCTGTGATGTGCAGCGTGTCCACCTGTGCCCACCTTTGCTGATGCAGCAAAATGCTTTTTATCATGGTCCCATCTGGACACTGGGGCAGCCTGAGCACTTTCCCCTACAGGGAACACCTTGCTGGGTCTGTGGGCCTGTTCAGACCAGACAAACCTGTATCAAGCCCTGCTGCTCTGTCAGCAGTATGCTCCTGCCACTGACTCCATCCACGGCTGCCCTGGGCTTTCCCCATCACTTGTGGGCAGCAGATGTTTACACCACAGCTGTACAGCAGAGGCAAAACAGTTTTCCCACTCAGCCCACTTGACTGGGATGTGAAAATGTTCCCAGTCATCATGAAGGTCCCACATTTGCCTCTGGGGTGCAATGATGCATTTGGACTAGTACTTCTGAGCAGCTGATGCACTTTAAGTGCACCCCATGTTTGTACTGGCATAGCCTAAACTGATGAACTCCTCTTGTTCCCTCCTCCTGCCAGTCAAAATCCTGGCTGTGCACAAAGCTGGGGCTCAGGAACTAGTGCTGATGTGTGTATCAGTATGTGGTGCTTAGCCAGAAGGCTGGAGTAGCTTGTTCCACAGGTGGTGGGACCCCCTGTGAGACAGAGCCATGGAGAGCCAGTGAGTTATGATTCCATTAAGTTTAATCTAGTGGGGAACAGCATCTGGGTGGCTGTCACAACTGAGGTGTTTTAGGGGATTTGAGCATGGATTTATTCACAGAAACATGATCACTGAATTGGATATGCAAAGCACTTAAAGCTTTTCCATCTGTTTTAGTTACCTCCTTAGTGTCAGCACACCATTTGGGACTAAATATTTAAGGGGAGTTCCCCAAGGCTCATTCTGAAAGGACAAAACTGTCTAGAAATAATATCCAGGTGTTGAGAAAAGGAAAATGTAGCTATTACTTTGGGTTGTTTCCCAGCACTACTTCACTATGCATTTTGTAGGTTATCCCTGACATTTAAATTGGCTTTTTTAGCTAATCTTCCAGTCTTGGGTTTTCTTTGCTGGAAAAAGGAAAAGTTGGGAGGGCTGTGAAATACTTTGAGCCATGTCTTGCCAGACGAGCAACTTTCCAAATTCAGTGATCAGCATTTGGTACTGGAAAAGGAAAATTAAGTCCATATAGTCATATTCCCTTCCATGTGCTCCCAACTTAGGTCTGGGACAGAAACCCCCTTGTCCATCCAACTTGATTTCATCAGATCTTACAGTCTTTGAGCAAGCCCAGCAGAGGCAGCTGCCACATAGTGGTGCCAGCAGCTAGAGTAATTAAAAACCTTTGTCTCTTGTGTCCTAGTTCTGGACACTGCAGGCCAAGAGGAGTTCAGTGCAATGCGGGAGCAGTACATGAGGACTGGAGATGGTTTCCTCATCGTCTACTCGGTGACAGACAAGGCCAGCTTCGAGCACGTGGACCGGTTCCACCAGCTGATCCTCCGAGTCAAGGACAGGTGGGTGCCACTGCCTGACCCACCAGGCTCCTGCCACGCTGCCAACCATCCTGGGGGCATGGGTACACATCTCACCCCAACTTCTGCCTTCTGGGTGTCCTGAGACAAATCCTTGTGTGGGATTGATTTGTGGGCCTCAGTGTGGTGAATAAGTTGTTTACTTCTTCTGATAAGCATGAATTGCTTCCAATGTGGAGAGGGTCAGTAGTGTTACAATGGAGTGAAAAGGCATCTGGAAGGAAGAAACTTCTGCCAGAATGGTCTGGCAGAGCAGTGTGAGCAAGAGAGATCAGACACTGTTGAAGGTAACCAGCTCAGCTCTGAAGAGGGGGAAGGATGCTCTATGCACAGTGCAGGCACTTTGCTGACTCCCTGCTGGTGATCCCAAGCATTCAGCCCTAATTATTTTGTCTATCTGGCACCATCATCCTTTCCCTGGCTTGTGCCAAACACACCTAACACACCTCTGAAGGCCCTGCGTAATTTGGGGGTGTGAACGAGTGTCTTGAAAGGGGAAAAACTCATGCTGGAAGGAGCTGTATTTTTTACCAGGGATGTAATGTAGTTAATGCACTGTGCTGTGCTGCAAATAATTGCACAGAATAAAAGATCTGTCTGTGCCTGGGGAGACAGCAAGAGAGGTTGTCTCTCTCCTCCTTGCATGTGCAGGGGAGAAGGTAGCACTGGGAGTTTAATCATGGTAAATAAATGTTTCCTGGCAGAGTGAGGAGAAGCTGCTGGTTCACCTCCAAGATAACTCCCTCTTCCCATCCTGGTTCAAGAGGCAGTGGATCCATCCTCACTGGGTGGGGTGTGAATTAAGCCCTTATATGTCTGCAGATTTGGAACACTTAGTTTTTCCATTCATAAGGGCTTTTAATTATGGAAGTCATCAAGAAAAGTCACCAGAGGGTTTGGGCCTCGTTGCTGGCTTCCTTTCACAGCTCTGAATAACTTCCCCACAGGAAGGGTGGACTCGTATCATGTGAGGTTCACAGCTGACAGCTCTTCCAGTAAAGCATCCAAAGTGTAGCCCACAAGAGTGGAAACTAAAGGAAAAACCTCCCTTTGATTTCATTTAAATGAAGAAGAATGTCAGTCACTCAGTCAGCCTCTCAGATCACAGCAGTCTAAGCACTGCTGGCTTAGCTTAGAGCAAAGTAAATCTGTTTCTAAAAGCTAAAGGAGACTGGACAGAATTTCCTGTAACTTGCCCCAGTCTGATGCTGATTTTATCAAATTTAACTTGGTGAAAATAAGATGTGGTGTTCACTTTGCTCTGGACTGAAACTTTTACCCTCCACGCGCCGTGCAAACACTGCAGCAGCGTGTGAGAGGCAGGAAGTGAAACAGGCTGGTGAGGTTGTTTTTGTTTCCCCGCTCAGCACCACTCCAAGCGTGAGGAGCCTATTAATGCTTCATCCAAAACCCGAGCTGGGTCAGAAAATCACAGCAGTGGGAGCAGCGTGAGTAAAAACCCTCCTGCCAAACCCACAGGTAGCTGGGAGCAGAGCATCTCCCTGGTTTTCAGTCTGGCAGGCAGTTTTGGCAACTTAAAATCCCAAAGAATGGCAGGCTGCTGTGTTAGCAGGGCTGTTCAAAGCCTTCCTCCTATTTCTTTCCACAGCTTTCATTATAGTGTAAAATTCCCTACCGTGGCAGCTTTGACCAACTAGCAGTTGTACAGCTTACAATAGGGAACAAAGTCCCCACAGAGTTTTATGCCTGATGTAAACAAGGCAAATGAGATACCATCCAAAAGTAATCTCTTTCTAATCAATGTGCTGCAAGCCAAAAAGCAATCAAATAATCCACACAAGCAAATATTTTGCTCCAGAAGGATCAGAGTCAAGATATATCAATGCTCAGGTATTAACATTAAATCACAGTCACATTATCAGAATGAATAACTCTAAGATTCATTTAAAATGCAGAGTGCAGTACGGTATTTTTCCAGCCAGAGCAATGGGGCAACGTGCCAAAGGGAAGATGGAGTTCTTATCATCTCGATGAAAAATGACCCAGAAATGCTGTTTAAAAATCCAGAGTTACCCAGGAAAGTGTTTTATACAGAAATGAGTACGACCAGCTGCTCCTTACCCCAGTAAAATCAGCTCTGTTACAGCAGAGAACACTAGGATCATTTAGGAGGGTTTAAATATAAGACCACAATACTGCAGTAACTGTCAGTGATCAGAAGGAACCTCCTCCCTGCAGCAGCTGACTGCTCTGAAGCCAGAGGAGAGAGTGGCACTGCCAACACCTGCCATGGCTCCCAACCTTGGTTCTGTTTATCACTGGAACAGTGGAGTTTTCTGCAGGGGGAGAGCCTTGCACAGGATGTGCTGTGGATAAATGGATCTCTTCTCAGGTGGTGGCTGAAGACCATTTCAGTGGCTTACATGCCTGGTAGCTAAGGAAATACTGAGTATTATTACAGAGGGAGATGGGTTTGGTATTCTTTTCTGGGATTAGAAACAGGAGATGGTGGGTAATAGCATTGGAAGCTTAGCAAATCTCTTTGGTTCCTTCCAGCTACCACTGCCAAGTTCAGTTTGTCTTGGGGTAACAGCTGATGAGCATCTTTTTGCTCCCACTCATTTTTTCCACCATTTGATGCCCCTCTCTAAGCACCAGCTCCCATAGCCCATCTTTCCTTCCCCCACAGAGTCTCTCAGCGGATGACCAGAAATGAAATTACTCCAATTCTTCCATCATCCCTCAGTATCTTGCCAAGATATGCAGTTACTGAGATGCCTTAACTGCTACTAAAGAGTCCCAGTCTCCTGTCCAAGTTCTGTCTTTATGTCTCAGTTGATTTTCTGGCTAATTCTCTAGATCTTTCTTCACCTAGTTGGATCTTCAGGCTTTGTTATCATCAGGCATTGCAAAAATATAACAATAAATTCCTGAAGTCCCTACAAATAACAATGAATGTGTGAATGCATGCAACTTGTCAAGCAAATTTTTACAACATGAGCATATGTATAGCACAGCCTGGAGGTTTTCTTTATATTGCTTTACACATATGTGTTATGTCTGCAGCTGAAAATGTTAGATGATGTCAGCATCAAAAAGCGAGATTTATGCACATAATTTTTGTTGTAGTCTGCTAATAATTGGTTGGGGGTTTTGATTTTTCCAGGGAGTCTTTTCCAATGATTTTGGTGGCAAACAAAGTTGATCTAATGCACTTACGGAAAATTACAAGAGAACAGGGGAGAGAAATGGCAACAAAACATAACGTAAGTTTGTGGGATTATTTAACGGGTTATTGAAAGTCCTGTTACAGGCATTCAGAATTGAAATCTGTGCCCATTAGGTGCGGAATTAAAGCTTACAATTAAACATTTGTAAATATATTTTTGATACTACAAAGTAGCAGCTATGCAGTTTCAGTAGGGCCAGTTTATCACTGAAACCAGAATCTCTGCTGTGCACCAAGCTGTAGCAGAACTGTGGCCATCACTAAGACTTATGTACAAGGTGTCTGAAAGTGGTGAGAAATGTTCAGGATGATGGAAAAGTGCACTCTCCTGGAGTGAAAAGGCAGACTCAGGCATTAGGAGGTATATCCAGGTGCCTCAGCTTGTTAAATATAATGAAGTTAACAGGGATGTTAAGCCTATATAAATCTGGCCCACCATCTTAGCTCTGCATTATTCATGCTGTTAGTTTAGCCTGAGAAATTGGTTTAGATGGGTGTAGATCACATGCTGCTCCACTAATCACCTCTAAATGCCAGCGGCCCTGAATACCCAGAGGGAGACAACTCCCTTAGGAGGTGGAATTGAATGGAAAGGTTAAAGGCAAACAAGCCTGAGACCTCTTGGCAGCTTGCTGTGCCTAGAGGACAAGCTGTGTGGTGGTTTCTGAGCAAACCAGGATGGGAGTTTGGCAGGGCAGGTTCACTCCCCTCCCTCCCCAAGGAATCTGGTTTCTGTCAGAGCCAGGACACCTAAACTGCAGCACAGCATGTTGTATCCATCTGTATACACACGCCTTGGAAAAGGCCATGCATGAAAATACCTTATCAGTGGCAGTTTTATAAATCTGCCAGTGTGCTGGACAAGCACTCTAGGAGGCCCCATCTGGCTGTCAGACTTTGAAGGGAAGGATCATTTTACACTGAAGGGGAATTGTAGTCATGAAATATTCATGCAGTAGTCCCAATAAAATGTGGCAAGCAAGAATTTTTGGCAAGTGCTGGTCTTTCAACAACCTTCGGCTATTTTCATTTCTGTGAGCACAGCTCAGGGGGAGAGAACATCTGAAGACATGAAGTCTGGGATTATTCTCCCCCAAACCCAGAGTTCCCATAGCAGCTGTTTAGCCTGGTGCTTATTCCAGACCTTTTGTAAGCTCTCCCTGACCTTGCTGTAAGGTGTTGATAGCAGTGTCATGGCAACATTTTGTTTACCTGTATTTCCGTGGTATTAGCAGCCCATTTCTCCAGCCTTTGAAAGGTATTGTCCCAACACTCAGGCTGTTACTGATCTCTTTCATAACCCACTTCTCTCCTCCAGATTCCCTATATAGAAACAAGTGCCAAGGACCCACCTCTGAACGTGGACAAGGCCTTCCATGATCTGGTGAGGGTAATAAGGTGAGCTGCAAACTCCTCCCTTCCTTCCTTTCCATGGATGGGGTGTGCAGGAGTCATGGCCCAGAGAGTCAGGAGCCAATTTCTGAGGGGGTCGGGTTTTCTTGGGGGTGAGATATTTCTGGTGTTTATTAACTTTCTTGTCCTGAATCTGCTTAGGTATGTTACTAGCACTTAGCTACCTGTGCAGGACATCAGTACCAGGCACAGTAAGATGTAGCTATGGCCATAATGAAAATCTTTTTATTCAATGAACAGTGCAAAGCCTACTATAATGATCAGCTCTAAAAGCCTGGATTGAAAGCTCTGGACCAGTAATTTGGGTTTTCATAGTTTTGTCCTCTCAAGGTCTTGCCTTGCCAGAAGTTAAAAAGGACTGGCAAAAAATTCTACAAAATTCTAATGCTGTAAGTGACTTCTAATATTTTCTGCTCACTACATGGAAAAAATTTAGCCATTTTGTATCAGAAGCTGCATGACCTAATGGCTAAGCCCCAGGTTTCCTCAGACTGCAGAGGCTTGTTCCCAGTTTTGGCATGAGCTGCCTCTGCTCGTTTTGGCAGGTTCTGCTCTCCGGGTGAACCCCTGCTCGGGCTGCCAGCAGGGAGGGACAGGGAGGGACAGGACAGCCTTCCCAACCCCGGCTCCCCTGCAGGAAAAGAGCTGCACGCACCTCCCAGCATCTCAGCTGATAACCTCAGTTCCCTCTGAGAAGATTTGTTTTTCTGGCACTAGTTTGTCTGCCAGATTTTCTGGGCCCTCATTTTTCATGTTTTGGGAGGGTGCTGAGCTGAAATCATGCTCCTCCCTGCCGTGCAGTCAAAGTGCCTCACCCAGCAATTAAACCACAAGGCATTTATTCACAGCATATCTGTACTTGTGAATATCCTAGCACAGCCTCAAGCCAGCCTCCATCAAAAGCAGATGGTACTGCCCACTCTTCCCACATGTCTCAAAAGCAGAGGGCAGAAAGTCTTTGGAGAACTGAGTTGGAAGTGTCCCAAGCTCTTTCCCAACTGTTCTGTAGCTCAGTATTAGCTGGCTAGATATTACTTTTGTGTTGCAGCAAGCTCTTACCACCATCTATTCTGCTCTGCAGGAAAGGAAAACAGCCAAAATAAGATGGAAAGGCTTTGTTTGCTTTCTTTACATAATGCAACTCCAGGCAGGCTGAAAGGAGTATTGTAATGAGGCATTACTAATTTCAAGCCCTGAAAAGGCACTTAACCTCAAAAATAAGCAGTGCACCTCAGTTTCCTGAGTAGCTGCTGTGAAAATCCTTGCTAGCCAGGTGAAACCCTCTGTGATGTCAAGGGCACCAGAAATGTTCACAAGAGCTGAAACTCAGGTTAAGTCAGAGAGCAGGGAGATGCTGTATGATCTGTCTGGTCATTGGCCACAAAGCAGCTTTGCTTGGTTTTTGGATGTTACAAACTGTCCACAGTCAAGGGTAGCATCCCCGACAAAGTATTGTTTTTCTGATTTTCAAGTGAGCTTTTTCAAATAAAATGTAAATTTCATCTCCCTGATAACTGTAATTGAAAGAGTGCTTTGCAAATGAAGGGCTTCCTCAGAGCCCTTGTGAGCTCTCAGGGTGAGGATGCTTGTTAAGGATTGTGGACACACATATTGAGAAAGCAAGAAAATTACAGCCTGAAAAATATTCCAGGCCGGAACTTCTCAGCTCTGTTCCCAGCCTGATAAGCTGGTCCAGCTAAAGGCTAGGGAGAATTTCTCCCTGGATGATAACTTAGTCAAAATAGAAAAAAAATTAATAACAGAAATAAAACACCTGTTATAGCATGCAACCAGACCCTAAAAATGAGGTGTCTTCTCTCTGAACCAATCGTCTTTCTTCTACGCTTAAAATTACAAGTCGTTCTATTTAAACAAGTATGCTTCTGAATAAACTTATCTCTTTCCTATCATAAAAAACCCCCATGTAACTATGTGTTTTATTTCCACCACATCTAAAAGGTTAATACCTCTTTCCACTGTTTGTGCTCCTTGCACCTGGCTGATTCCCAATTTATTTAGCTTCATGCAAGAAACTGTTGTCTGGAAGTAATCCAGAAAGGACTGGGGTGATTGAGTCCACCCAATAGATGTTTTAAATTTCCTGATGCCCCTTTTATGCTGCAGCAGTGCACACACAGGATCTGTCACAGCAGAAGCCTTGAGCAGGCCCAAGGTGTGGTTTCTGGATCTCTAAAACAGATCCAGAAGAGTGTGAACAGCTTGTGGTCACTTAGTGTTTATCCAGATTTAAAGTACTTTCTGAATCTCGTCTTTCTGGTTTTGATCTTTAAAGTTTTATGTTTTTCATGCCTCCAGCCTTCATATTCACTGAAAAAAAGTCTTACTAGTCAAGGCTGAGTTTTTCAGGTGGTTGCAAGAATTTGGAATCTGGGGCTGTAAGAGAAACACCATCCTGGTCTGGATTCCTTGGTATGAACACTTGGTTCAATGCCTGGCATATTACATGAAAAAGAGGCTGCTTTTGAAGAGCTCAGACTCTCGAGTTTGAATCTACAGAAGCTACCAGTGTTTGTATGTTTTATCTTGCACTAAAATCTACATCTACAGGCTGCCTATGGGGTGTTTGAGCTACAGAGCCTTCTGCTGGATTTGCACTGTTGGGCTGGCAGAGTAGCTGCTGCAGTTGGGTGCAGCTGCAAACAGGCATTTGGGCAATGCCTCATCTTACAGGACAGGGAGAAGCCCTCAACAGAATGCTTCAGAGGCTGCTCACAGCTCTGGGCCACAGTTACAGGAGAGCTCTCAGCTGTGTGTTCCTGATGGCTGTGACTTCAGACAGCCAGGGACATCTTTCTGGTGGTCAGATCATTCTCTGTGCTCTGGTGCTCTTCACAACTTCAGAGGAAGCCAGAGCCCCATCAGGAGCAAACTCAGTTTTTGGTTTATTATTTTTTAGCTCCCCTCCATCACCAAGTCTGCATCAGTGCAGCTGGCTAAGGGCAATGCCAGCTGAAAGGCAGAAGAGTGCGTTTTTCTGTGGTCTCTGTACCTCTCATCCTCTTCCCTACTGAATGTCAGCAGTGTAATGGATGACATTGCCTCGCCTAGAGCATCCCTGTTTCCCAGAGCAGCCCCCTTGGCAGGGGAGGAGGCAGCAGTTCACCCTGGGCAGCTAGAGCCATAGTGCCCTGGCAGGACGTACATCCCTGCCATTAGCTTTAATGGCATCTTTGCTCCTTCCTGAAGAATGCAGGCAGTTCTCAGCTGTGCGGCATGAAAAGCCATGCAGTGCTGGAAGGGTAAATGGAGATATGTATGCAAATATGCACATGCACACCAAGATGCTGCTCTGCAGGCTGCCCAGGGCTCTGGATCCAACCCAGCCTTACATCTCACCTGCCTGCTTTCTTCTCTGTCTCCCAAAACAGGCAACAGATCCCAGAGAAAAGCCAGAAGAAGAAGAAAAAGACCAAATGGCGAGGGGACAGAGCCACAGGCTCCCATAAACTCCAGTGTGTGATTTTGTGATGGGACACCCTGGGAGTGCCTTGGACGCCTCCCTCCTCCCCTGTTGACCCACTGCCAGCCCAGGCAAGGAGCCACAGCTCGGTGCTGATGCCCACATGGCCCCGTGGCCCCTGGGGCTCCCCACGGCGGCTCAGACTCGGAGGAAGCGGCTCAGAGGATCCAGACCCCCAGAGAGGGGCTGCACATCAGGGCCAGCGTGGGAGCTGTGCCAATGGGGGGCAGAAGGGATCAGCAGGACTTCAACTCTCAAAGATCCCCAGCACCTTCCAAGGGCCTCCGTGATGTTTATTAGAAAAAAAAAAAAACAAAAAAAACAAACAAAAACACCAAGGCAGAAGTTTAAAAAAAAGTGTTGGTTTTATCTGCAAACATTTCTCTTTGTGACCCATTTCTGAACAGTCTTGAATAGCCCCCCTATTTGGTACAGTTGTCTGTGTATTTGTGGGGGAAGGGAAAGGGTTTTTCTTTCTCTTAATTTTTTTTTGGTCCTCTTCTTCCTTTTTGTTGTTTGCTCAGCGAGTGTTGGGTTGCAAAGAAACAACGGCCAGGGTTAGATTTTTGCACTGGACTCTCTCTTGGGCAGCAGTGCCAAAACACAACTTCATATGAAAGTGCATAGATTTGGAGGAAGAAAATTAATTCCAGCTGCTCTGGGTGCTCCAGACATTGTGTCAGACTCTGGAGGGTCGCCAGCTCACAGACCATAAACTTCAGCTTAGGAAAGAAAGTTTGGGCTTGGATTATATTTTTTTTTCTTACCCTTTGTCAAGAGGTTTTGTTTCTGTTTTGTAACTTTGGACATGTCAAACTTAAGACATTTTGTTAACCTGGAAGTATTTAAATTAAAGTAATTTACAAATGGAAGGGTATGTCATTTTTGAGGGAGGGGGGTGGAGGGGAAGGGAGAAAGGAAGTAAAATCTGAACTGAATTTGTTATTGGGGTGTTGAATTTCTCCCTCATAAATGCATGCAAAGCCACTCATGGGTAGATTAATTGTTTTGCTTTTCCCAGGCTCATCTCACACACACAGGAAAAAAAATCTGTTTATGGAGTTTGGCTCAGTGTTTGTTCTTCTCCCTCCTTCGCCAAGTTGGTGACTTGAAAGGAAGAGGTGTTTTTAAAATGATTCAAGTGGGACACGTCTCTTCATAAGCTGACTGGATCTAAAATGTCTCCCTGAAAACAGCAAGGACTAAATATGCCTTTTGAACAGACAAGGCAAAAAACCTGCAAGCATTCAAACTGCCATCTGCAGCACCAGAAATATGGCTGTGCACATCCTGGAGGGGCCACGTGTTCTTTCACACCTTTCCTGGCAGTAAGAACTGCAGTGGCAAATTTGTCTTTAATGGAATGTCATCTGCTGGATTAAATCCATTGGCTCCATTCACATGGTCAGCAAACCTGTTTAAAAGTAGGAACTTGCTTTTCATCAGCTTGAATCCTATTCAAATATGCTTTGTGGGCATAACTTAAAATATTAGCAGAGTATAAACGCCTGAGATATACGTGTCTGAGCACAGAAAATCCTGGTATTGGATACTGAAGATCCATCCAAGATGGATCATCACAAACTTAGTACTCCATACTTGTCTATTTGCCACCAGATTTCATTTCTTGACCCTTTGACAGGCCACTTTTTAGAAGTGAGTTGGCTGCTGATTATTTTTCAGGTGAATGAGGCTAATGGAAACATGTTCTTAATTTGTCCAGTCTTCATCAGAGCCAGAAGATGGCAAAAGCCTGTGGCTGGCTCAGCAAGCTGCTTAGGGTAATGCTGGCTCTGCTGCCTCTGTCCCCTTTGGTGTGGTGACAGAGCTGGGGATGGATTAAGCAGGGGGATGTTGGAAAGAAGTATCTCTCACTGACTTTTAGGTTGGATGTGGGCCATACACTTCAGTGGAGTAGCAACGTGCTGTGTCAGCTGAGTTGTGGCTCCTGACCATCACAGCGTTTCTCCCAGTGCTGGCTGAACAGAACTGCAGCAACTGAAGCCATCCACTTCAAATTCTGGTCCTTGCAACTCACCTCTGCCTTCTGGAGGAACATCTCCCTGTAGGCATTTAATTTGTTCTGCTTTGAAAACCTCTAGTAAATCAGAAGTTGTCTGATCTTTGGAACCACCCCATTTCACCATCGCCCCTGTAACCACTTCCCTACCAGAATCCCTGTCTAGCCTGACTGCTGGCTTAATAGTTTTAATTATATGCTACTAATGCTATGGGATCCCACACACAAGAAGATGATGGCATTTTTAGGGAGCTCTTTTAATACCCCCTAGAGCCCTTCCAATTAAAAATAACTTGATTTCTGCTGAAACACCTCATCCTTATTATTTTTATCTAAACCCTTGGGAATGCTTGCCTGAAAACAGCATGTGTCTCTTGAGTCACATCTGCTGCATACTCAGCACTGCATGTGAGAAATTATCTGCTTTTTCTAAAGCTTCTTAATTGTTTCTTCAGTTCCTTTAGCAACTAACAGCTATTGCAGAATAATGCAGGGGATGAGGAAGAGGGGAAAGGAGCAGATTAACAACAACAGAATATGGAGTAGTGGCCAATGGGGAAAGCATGGCTGTTTTCTTCTACATTCATCAACTTCTTTATAGTAAGGAGTGTTTTCCAATAAGGATTGCATCTCTGACAATCCTAGGGTGCTGAAAATAGCAAGGTGTACAAATCCTTCTGCCATCTAACCTACCCTGTCATATTCAGGGCTGTGGGGAAATGGAGAGCACCTTTCCTGCCATGCACAGCACCTACAGACCTGGGTAGAGAGACACCAGTTGGTGACACACTGCAGAGAGCAATAACTGTGCTGTGAGTGGCTGATACTTTTCTATGGAGCATCCAGTGGATAGGGACATTTTTGTTGTGGCTAGGGGCAGTCTGGAGAAGGATCCTGTAAGGCACACGTGGGGCTCATTTCCAAAGAGCAGATGATGCAAGTGACCTAACATCATCTTCAGCCCTGGGTAAATCAGCATTCTCTTGTCTCAGAGCAATCTGGTTCCTCTTCTCTTAAACAGGAATTGGCAAGGTAGAGTTGGCCTTAGAGCTGACCTTGCTTTCAACATGCAGCTTCAAACAAAATAAAAAGAGGAGTAAAACCTTCCAGATTTATTGGCATTTAGTAACCAAATAACTTCCTTTGTCTATTTTAGACACTGAATAATATTTGTAGAACAACAAACAATAAGTATTAAGCCACCTAAGTTTTGGCTTTGTAAAGGTGTCATCACCTCTCCGACCTGGGATGCTAGAGCAGCTGTACCACTGCCTTCAGGTAAATCATGTTGCTGTTTGCTCTCTGGTCCTGCCTATAAGGCAGCCACTGACTTTTTTTCTTACCAATTTCTGAGGTGCATGGCATTTATTGTATAAGACAAGTCACCTGTTTGTCAACCTCATGTCTCTCAAAGGAAGAAAAGGAGAAGTACCTGGTTGAAATAAATACACGTTCCTTTGGCATGAGCAGAGGTTAATTGTCCCTCTCTGCCTGCCAACTCTAAATGGCACAAAAAAACACCCAAAAAACCCAAAACCAAAATACAAAAAAGCCTGCTAACAGCAAAACTAAACATCACCCCACACGAGGAGGCCTGCAGGTGGTGGCCACCTACAAACCTGCTTTCTTGGCTGCCTCAGCCAAAGCCAGTGCTGTCACTGGCGAAGCTGCTCTGTGATAGCCTGGGTACATTTAAATAAACCATGTCCAGATGATGGTGCTCAGCAACAAAACACTGGAGATGGTGAACAAGAGAAGCAAGTATTTAACAAGGGGCTGAAATTACTTGGTTTGGATCAGATGTTTCAGTTTAACAAGAGGCTATTGCCGTATGTTGCTCAGTTCCTTAATCTGCAATAATTGATTTTGGCTGGCCCTTTTAACCTGCAGCTGTACTAGAATTTGCAAATTAGGACAGGCTGACGGGTTTAGACATACATGGTGTGTCTCGTCTGGAGAGGAAATGAGCGTTATTGGGCACAGAGAGGACAGCATTGTAATGCTAGTTCTGATTTTTTGTTTTAGCTTGTTACCATCCTCAGGCCAAAATGGACTGCCCAGAGCCTTATTCAGCTCCAGTGATTTCAAGGGATGGTCCCTAAATGCCGCTGAATTGCTTGGGAAGGAGGCGATCCTGCTCAAAGCTCTGCTAAGAGTAGAATACAATGGGAAATACAGAAGACAACTTATGGTCTACTCCACATGTCAGAGGTCAGATATTTATTAATGAGGGAGAGAGAGGGCTTGAGAGAAGTTTGGCATTAGGGAAATAGCCAAGGCCCTGTGACAACTGCCACATCAACCTGTGTACTTTGGAATGGTCTCTGTGTGTGGAAATCTGCTTTCTGTGAGCTGGGTTCAGTGGCCAACCTATTCTATCTGCTGTAGGCTGGGCAGGAAGGAGGAGCTTTAGTGCATTTATTAAGGACTGCATTAGAGTGCACAGAAAACATGACAGTGAAAAGGAGAGGAAGGATGCTGTGCCATGGGAAGTGTTGCTGTTCTTGGTCACTGCTCCCTGTGCTGGGAGGTCTCCAGTGGTCACACAAGCTAAAACGAGTGTCTTGCATTTCTGTATTTAATGCCGTCTGAATATGCCTGGGGGTATCCAGGGCATTTACCTGTGAGTTTCGGCTGTAACACGAGACCTATGGGAAACATCTGGGCCCTGCTGGAGCAGCAGCCACCAGCCAGGCAAGGATTCACCTGAGCACCTGCAATGGCTCCAAATGTGTACCTTGGGGCAGCCAGTAGGTGCATTGAGAACCCTTCTCTATTTCACAGCAGCACTCTGACAAAAGTCAGTGGATACTCCAAATGTCTGTGGATACCCTAATTCTCCTGCAAAGTGATGTCACCTGTGTTTTAGGGACTCACTGATGCATCTAGACAAAGTCAGAAGTCACCAATTTTGTGAAATGTATTAATTGCATTTTGCAGCCTAGGCGATCTCATGAGTATCAGTTGCACAATTCGGCTGTAAATAATTCAATATTTGGCTATCAGGGATTCCATCAATATTATGCAGGCATTTTGCTTCCTTTTCTCTTGCATGCAAGGGAAATAAATATTTCATAAATGATCTCACAGATGGTTTCTGGGATGACACAGGGCTTACTTGCAGCAGAAGAGAGCAGGGAGAGAGATGACTGTGTGTGCTGGATCCCATGATGGGGAGGCACGAGGAGTTACGGCACAGAGGTAGGCTCTGGTCTGAGGGGGTTTCCCACCGCTGTGGAAAATCACTGCTGCTTCTCTCCAGCTCCAAGAAGTCACTCATGGCCAGCAGGTCAGGCAGGTCAAGGCTTCCTGAGGCAAGAGAAACATGTGGGCACTGTGTCACTGCTGTGCCAAAGGGAGGGGCCAGGGAAGGAAGGCTCACACCCAGCAGTGAGACCTGACAGGTGGCTGAGTGCAGGGGTTACTGCTAATGACAGGAGAGGGACGTTCAGCAGTGCTGAGAGTGGAGTAGAGACAGCCAAAATCCCCTAATTCTGGCAGTTCTGGGACAGCTCTTTTAATTCTTTTGAATTCAGGGATTCCTTTGCCAAATCCTGGGGGACCAGCAGCATCATGCCAAGCCAAACACAGCAGTCTGACTTGCCACAAGCGTTACTACTCCTCTAGTTTCCATCCCTCCTCCCAGGTCTCTCTCATGCAGACCAAGACATGGATAACATTGTCTGAGAGCTCAGACTGGGCATGTGGTCAGATCCAGGAGCCAAAGAGAGGGACTCAGGCAACATCCTGGATTTGGTCAATAAGAGAGCAGGAGCAGGAGGTGAAGGAAGGAGCTTTGTGAATCAGGACCCTGTTCTATAAAGCCAAATCCTCTGCAAATCTGGGCAAGAG